CACAGATGCTGCTGCTGCTGATTAGCTTGGTATTGCTCTCTCGTGTCAGAGCACTTTGCGCATGCACATGCATACACACACTCACACACATATATATGTATGTAGCATAGATGACAATTTATGTTTGGGGGGTTAGATTATGTCGGCAGGAGTGTTGAACATGACGGTTTTTTCTCGACAAATCTGGCTTTTTATTAAAGTGTTATGCCGGAAGATATTAACAGAAAGAGCTAGATTTGCTTCTCTTATATACAATTTGGTGTACGTGCATATGTAGATATATATGTAGATTATCTAAATGACATAGTACACTCCACATATACAAACACATACTTGTGTGTAGCTGCATTTGCTTAGGTAATTAAAAGCCTTTTAGTAGCTTTTAATTATGATAGAAGCAAATACCTCACGTGACGGTAGCAAGATAAATGACCACCATAATAATATCTAATATGTTTGCGTGTCTCGTCGCTGACGTGACACGCTCGCATCACTAGCCGCATGTTAGCAGAATCCATAACAAGAACGAAGGAGACGAAACAAAGGTCAAGCTCATTAGCCAGCGCTGATGTAAGTGCTGCAGCGCCATCTTACGGCTGCCCAACGCAACCTGTCGACTCTTTGCCCCTATCTCTTTCATTTTCTCTCACGGTAAGTGTGTATGTGTCTGCATTTGTTTATTGGGCAAACGAAAACAAAACACAAAGCTCATGCAATAAATTAATTGGCAACGAGGGGCAGCCGTCACGCCAAAAAATGTGCCCAGCTGATAGATAAACAAAACGAAAACATACATATTTTTGTAAATGTTAAGCAAATACCAAATCCAAAATGCGCAACACTAACAAATTGCAAGTAAAATCTTGTAGTAGGCTGACCTTGCAAATAGACGGAGCGAATTGGAGCGCAGCGAAAGAAATGGCTGCGCAACACGCCAGCAATTATTCGCTTCGATCTGCAAAACTCGCCGCGCAATTGCATATTGCTGCGTCGCAGTTATTGAGGGCGAAATACTTACCGTTCCTCGCTTGCGCTGAAGCCAACCGATGCGGTTGTCACTTTAAGCGTCTGTCGCAGCAGTGAGCCTAGAACGCTGCGCGTCGCTGTTGGCTTTTTACTGTTGCTGCTGTTGTTGTGGCTGTTGCTGGGATCGGTGTTGCAGCGCGGCCGAAAGATATCGTTGATATGTGTGGGGCGTGGTGGCCGCTTGTGCAGCGGCTCCGGCGAAGCTAATGGCGATGAATCTGCCGCATCCTGTGTGGGCGTCAATGAATTCGCCCGCCCACGGCGATCAGGCGAAACTGAGTGACTGGTCAGGCGCTGGGCTGCGCTGCTGCTGCTGTTGTTGCTGCTGTTGCTGCTACTAGTGCTGCTTTGAGCAGTTGGAGCGAGGTAGTTCATTTTATTGACAAAACGCTGCGTACCGTTAGTTTTTGTGATTTTCTCTTATTTCTTATTTGTTTTTTTATTTTGCGTAAGCAATCGAATCGCACGCTTTGCTGTAAGCACGGCTGCTCAGCGAATGGTGGCCGAAGCGGCAAACTGCTTGGATGCCTCCTCGCTGATGTTGCATGCCAAAATGCGGCAAGGTGAACAAAATAAAATGGAAAAAAGCAGCGACAACAAAAACATCAGCTAGAAAACAAACACAAAATTAGCCCCCGCTTTCAGTGCTGACATTATCGAATTGACAAAAGAATTGGCAAACGAAATGGCCGTAAAAAACAGAAAGCAACAACAGCAGCAATAGCAAAAAGTGTGAAGGCGACAAGCTGAAAGGCAAAACACAGAAATAAACATGAAGAGGCAAACGCCGACGCTGACGTCGACCGCGCGACAGCTTCGACATAACCGTTATGCAGGCGCTTAAAGTACAGTCAGATAATGATTCAAGTTGCTAACGAGCCGGAAAAGGAAATGAACGACGTTTCAGCAGAAGAAGAGGAAGATAAGAGGAGGAGATTAAGAAAGTTTTTGTCGTTGTTTTGATTCATATCTATATCTATATCTACATCTATATCTATATCTATATCTATATCTATATCTATATCTATATCTATATCTATATCTATATCTATATCTATATATAGATATAGATCTATATCTATATCTATATCTATATATAAAACTAGTTGCTTTGCCAAAATATGTCAGGAATATGGAAAGTATGGGGTAAAAATTATACTAAGCATTTTAGATCAGCAATTTGTACGGGCTTTGTATATATCGAAGTCTTTACTTTTTCACTTAAATTGAATATGTTTATTTCTGCGAGCTTCTAGATAGATGCGATTGGGTAAGTCCAAAAATCTCTTAACTGCCGATCATCATATCCTTTTACAGTATTATTTCGCTGTTTCTAGAATGGATCGCTGGCTGAACGTAAATAGAACTCGGTTAAGATTGGGCCAAAGTCTCGATGGGTCGTGCGAGTTGGGCAATGGCGATGCCCTCGGCCGATTTATCAAACTGTTCTCTAGCGCCGGCATACAGGTCTTCAAATGGATCTTGAGCCATTTCTGTAGTTACGTCGATCCCGAGAATATTCTGCGCATTGACTAAAAAGTACAAACAACATGAATATGATGTTATATTTTGTAATTTTTTTTTTTTTAAAGATATGCAAATGAAATGAATTGAAATTAAAGATGCGATATTTTTACATGTGATCTTTAATTTCGAGAAAGCTTCCAAGGTTCTGAGAAGCTCTTCAGTATTATTTAAGAAAACTTAATCGTTCATGTTTTTGATTCATTTTCTATATGACGTCTCGAACTTACAGGTTTTCTTACACCCATTGACAGTGGGAGTAAAGCGTAAAGGGTTTTGTGAAAATCTGTAGGTGGCAGTTGGAGGCGTGGCAGGCTTTCTTGATCAGGACGATTAGCTGAGTAGAACTAGCCATGTCCTTAGGTAAGCGATATCTGAACTTTTAAAGCTAGAGACATTGATAAATATTTTTTATTTTTGTCTTTCTTTCGATAACTTTTCCTGATTCCTTATCGAATAAATATCTGATGTTATTTGATCACTTCCGATTTTGGATTGGTTTTCTTCAAATCATAGGGACTTGTGACACGCACAAATCTGGATGTCTTCATTGCTCTGAAAGTCCATCTAGAAGAAAAGCTATTCAACAATTCATATAAAAGCAGCTTCGAATGATTGTCGTCTCAGCTCTTCGCATGGTTCGGGATATAGCCTAGTCGGACATACCCGATTTAAGTACGCCTACTTGTTTGTTGAAGATAGTCGAAGTTTTCGCCCAGTTCCAGTTATAAAAAGAAACCAAATTTTTTTGTTTTTTTATTTTTGAAATTTTTTATTTTATTTGATTGTTGGTTTTGTTGTTGTTGTTAAATTTTGTGCTAATTTGTTATATTTTGCTTACTCTGCAGTTCTTTGGTATTATATATATGCCATATCGTATCATATCATATAATAGATCAATGTAATTATTAATTGTTCACATTCATAGATTCAGTTAGTTCAATAAATATTCCTCATAGTAATTTTGTACTCAACCATCAAGACAAAAAAATAACCGAAACAACAATTTTCCTCATATACATATATATATATATATATATAAGTTTTAGTTAATATTATATTATATGATTTCAAATATTTTTCGAGTATTCTTATTATATATTTTCTAGTTTCAACTTTATTTGTTTATTTGTGCTTTGCTTGTAATTGAAATTGAAAATTTGCTAAGGTTTATGCAAACTATGAAATCTTTTTATTCCTCTTACTTTCTGGTTAAGTGTTACGAGATGTATATATACTTTTGTATGCGAGCCGCAAACCTCGTCTATTTTTATAAAATTATAAGCCCAATTGAGTCGATTTTTATTGTAAAAAAATGTTTTGTAAATATTAAAAAAATATTTTGAACTCCTTTTTTAAACTTGTAAAATATGTAAAAAAAAATTTAAAAATTTTTCTTATAGTCAATTAAATATTTAAAAATATTTCACTTAAGAAAAGTAAGAAAAAGAATTTCATTATTTTTCGTGGCCATTTCTTACAGCTAGAAATTGAAAATTTGACAACTGATTGCGGCTCCCTAACTTGAGGCATTGTAACTAGGTGTATGTTAGACGATATATATATACGATATATATATGTTTGTGTGTGTATGTGTTCTGATTTGTGAAATTGTTAGCAGAACTGAATAATGCATCTTTGAATAGGCGATATACGATATACGATGTACAATAAACGATATATAAACTGTACTTTCATTACATTTAAGTATCGATCATATGCTGATAAATTTGGTTAAAATTTATCGATTAGCTATCACATAGAATATATCTAGTAAAATGAAAAACAAGGAAGGCAAAGGTCATGGGAGCTGAGATCTATGGAAATGAATAAAATATATAAAATACATACGTATATGTATATGGAGAGAAACGTATTCCAACTCAAGTTTAGGCCTTATATAGCTAAAGAGTCAAATATCACAACATCACATATACATAAGTAGATATATATATATATATATATATATAAATGGTATTTATAGGGTAACTAAGCGCTGGTCAGCTCTTTAATCTTAACTTCTTTTTCAGACTTGGCCTTCTGCACAACTCTTTCTCTCATTATCTCTCGCTCTCTCCCTCTCTCTATCTCTTTCGTGTGCTCAGGAACTTAAAAGTGTTAGATATTATTATTTAATATTTGATTTATTTTATTTTCTATATTCGAAATGCCATAGAAAAGAGTAGAAAAACTTGCAAAAACTGTTCGAATATTTTTTTAGTTGAACACTGAAAAATAAGAATCGGATTTAGCTATTATAGATATATAAGGTATTATCGCTGTTAAGTACTTTGTTTCTCAAGACTTTTTGATTCAGATCTATATTCGTATATACTTGTTAGTTGTGGTAAATTGTATATTTATGGGGGGCAAGCCTCTAGAAAAAAGAGGAAAAATTTTACAACAACCTTTCAACAATATTTCCTGCATTCCATTTCAATTGTGCTCTATCTCTCTTCGTCTTCGTCTTCTTCTTCAAAACATTTAATAATATTTTTTTATTTGGTTTCTTAACTTTGGTTTCCCCGCCTCAGACAACTAACTGAAGAGATCTTGTTGATATGATACAGAACAAGAAAAAGAGAAATAAAATTTGATTTATAATATTTAATCCGTTATTATATAGTCAAGATCTGCTCAGTTAGTTAGCTTTTGGCATTCTATTAACTTTTATTTAGCTAATTTCGTATTTACTTCTCACTTTCCCTTTGAGTTCTAAGTTTTCTAAAAAGTTGAGAATCTGAGATCCTATTGGGAGTGTCATTCAGTTTGACCTATTTCGAATTTTCGCCTCGGGTTTACGTATTTATTTTGTATTATTTATTTCGTAGTTGGATTTATAGTTTTCTAGTTTTCTAGTTTCCTATATAAAGTATTTAGTTGTGCATTTTGTAGATTTGAAGTCACAATCAAAGATCAACTATATAGAGAGAGAATACTTAAAGTTTGATTTGATTTTGGTTACAATATTTGTAAGTAATACACTTGCAGAGATTTGTCGAATCTTGTGAATATCGGATGTATAGTATATAGTATATATATAGTTAACATACGGGCCTTGATAAACTCTATAGAAATCATTAGAGAAAAATCGTTTGGCATTCGATTGAGAAAATTTATCGGGCACGAAATGTCATCTTCTAGATCCCATGTACTATTGGTATATATATATTCTTGATCAGCATTCGTCCGCGACAAATTAAAACTAAAATTTTCTTGTTTTCAATAGATCTGGTACTACCATAGCTGTCAGGCGTCATATATATATATATAGCTAGTACTTTTGTGTCTTTTAACAATCTATATATATATTATATATTTTTTGGGCATTATGGATACCCTGTAAACTCTATGCGAATTGGTTGGACAAACATTTGCACGCTTCAAATATTTGCAACAATAAATCTGATATCATTTTTCTCTCAGTGTTGATTAACTATGACAGTCAGATTAACTAGCAGTTAATTTACTTAGTTAGAATTTGGTGACATTTTTTTTTGATTCGATTTGATTTTACAATTGCATTTCTTTCCTCGCTCAGTATACCTTGTGGTACAGCGATTTAAAGGGTATCTTAATGGTTATCTGATTGTTGTGAATTAATAGTTGGGTGACTTAGCTCAACACAAGTTGGCAAACACTTAAAATTAGGCATAACTGTAAAACAAACAAGTTGCTCGACTAGCAGCTACCCTGTAATGAACATAGCGCAGATAACTTTAGACTTCTTAATGCCTATAAGGTTCGACTAAAATAGAGTATTTCTTTACTTCTTTCCAACAACAGGGTATGCTCGACTAGCAGTTACCCTGTAATCTTACATATAGCACGTGAATGTATTCTCTTCAATATTAACAATGAAAGTGTTACACTTAAACTGAGTATTCCATTCTCTTCCCTACATTAACAGAAAATGCTCGACTAGCAGACACCCTGTACTGAAAATTGCACACATGAATTTAGATTCTACAAGAGTTCGCCTTAAATTGAGTAAGCTTTGTTCTTTTCTAAAATAACAGGATATGCTCGACTGACAGTTACCCTGTAATGAGAGTAAACCACGTGACAGAGTTTTTAACATATTCAATGAACAATTTGGACTTAAATTAAGACTAATTTACTTTGTCTTTACACTTACATAGCATGCCTGACTAGCAGATACCCTGTTATAAAAAAAACTTACTGTTGCAGACAATTTAATACTTATAATTACAAAATCAGACCTACTTGAAGTATTTTCTCTTATTGTTGTCTATAACGAGTAATGCTCGAATTGCAAATACCCTGTATTAAAGTAGGAGCACTACGCTTCACACATTTTATATATTCTTATAACAAAAAATATCAGACTAAAATTTGATTCTTAGTTTTTAATCATTTCGGTATTACAGGGTATGCTTAGCAGCTGCAACTGAGTTGAACAAATTAAAAAAAAAAACAATGCTAGGCTTTGTAAAAGGCAGACTATAGGCATAATAATAATAATAATAATAAGCTTGCTAATGCTATATACATAGATGTAACTAGTTTTTATAGGGTATAACTAGGTCTAGCAAGGTGATACAACTGGACTAGACTTTGGACTAGATTTCGCATTATGGATTTCATTCGCTTACAAATTAGTTTGGGCTGCGGTAGCAGCTGAATTGTTGGCAGCTGCCGCCGCACCACCCACTGCACCGCTGCCAGCCACTGACGCAGCACTGGCCGTTGAGTGGCCACCCACCGCTGCACCAATGCCGCCGATGCCACTAATGCCACCCACCGTCGAGCTGCTCGTATGCATGGCCAAGCCATGTTGGACATTCATGCCCGTGAGGAGCTCGTGCTCCGTCTTCGCCTGCCTCAGCCAGTTGCGCAAGTCGCGCGTTCGCTCCACCAGGCTGGTGGTGTAGTTAACCGCTCGCGGACTCTGCGAAACGATAGTGTTGGCGGCCAAGATGGCACCACCCATTGAACTGTGCATGCGACCCGCTGCCAGCTGGCGATACGTCTCCAAGCGATCGGCGAGCGTCGGTATCGATTGTGGTGCATGGACCGAAGCAGCAGCAGCAGCTGCTGCAGCGGCAGCAGCGCTGGTGGTGCTGATGCTCTGATTCGAACCGCTCGCAGTGCCAGCCGTGGCCATTGACGAGGACTGCTGGCTGCTAAGCATGTGCGACCAGCTGAGCTCGTTGGGTGAGATCAGCGGCATGGTCAGGGCTAGACCATGCGATGATTGTGATTGATGGTGGTGCTGCGGCGGTTGCTGCTGTTGCTGGTGGTGCAGCTGCTGTTTTTGGCCAAGTATGTCCAGTATTTCCCGTATCTCAGCATTCAATATCTCCAGATTCTGTATGCACTCATTCGATTCCTGCTGAAAGTACTCCTTGCGCTTGTGCAGGTCCGCGCCGCTGGCAAAATCGGTGCTGCTGAAGCCCGAGCTCGAATGGGAGGAGAGATCACTGAGCGTGGTTGCATCATCCTTCGGCTCTTGCTCCAGGCTGGGCTTCTCCTTCTCATAGATGCGCAGCAGACTCTGCTCCAGATGTCTTAGCCTAATGACCTTTTCGCCTAGCAAAGCGCGCGTCCGATGCAAATTGACTTCCATTTCGGTTAGCTCCTTCTCCTCCTGAATCAGCTGATCCAGCGAATGCCTGGGTGCAGCCAATGTAAGGCTTTTGTGCCGTTGCTTAATCTCACGCTGGCGTGAACGAAAATTGGTGCGCTGCGTGCGCAGTGACTCCTTGGCCCGACGCACCGAGTCCCGTTCCAAGTGAATGCGATGCTTGAAGAATTCCAGCTCGGACCCAACCACTGAGCCAACCACAGTCGCATGCTCATTGGCCACAATGTCCGTGAAGGGATAGCGCAAGTGGTAAGTGGTATCTAGCGTGTGCTCCGGGAATTGATCCTCTAGGTCCTCCAGCTTCTGCAGCTGGTGCCGCAAGTTCTCAACGGGCGTGCATGGACGTTCGACCTGCTGCTGCTGCTGTTGCTGCTGCTGCTGTTTGTTGTAGTCGGAGTTGAGACGCGATGTTGAGGCGGATTTGGTGCGCGAGAAGAGTTTCTTGCGAGGCACCGTTAAGGCTTTATTGTTATTATTATTGTTATTGTGCTCCTGCTGCTGCTGCTGCTGTTGCTGTGCCTCCGAGTCCGAGTTGCCATTGTCGCTGAGCACCAATGTTGCCGAGGGCGCCGACAGATAACGACCTTTGCTATAGTTATTCGAAATCGTTGTGTCCGACTGGCTCAGCGAGGTGTTGGCATCGTCCTGCAGCTGCAGCTGCTTGATATACTTGCTGGCCAGACAAACGCTGGCCGCCTGCTTGCCCAAGTGGGTTTTCGGCGGCACCGGCGGCTTCAGCTTGACGTCCGTTGTTGTCGCCTGTTCGGAGTAGCTGAGCGAACGGTTCTCGCTGTTCCCTATGGATGGCTTCTGCGATAGCGAACGTTCCGTTTCGGAGTTGTTCGTCTGCAAGTGTGGCTCCAGCTGCGCTTGGACTTGCGCCTGGGCTTGGGCCTGTGCCTCACGCCTGCGACTGCGTCGCTCCAAGGACAGCTTCACGTCGGTCTTGAGTCGCACGTACTTCTCCTTGAGGCAGCGATATTTGTCCTCGAGCAGGCGCTTCTCGCAGCGCACCTTCTCGTACAGACGCTCCTCGCCATTGTCGCGCAGTCGCTGCTTCTCCACCTCCAGCTCGTGATTGAGCTTGTCGCGCATTTGGCTTAGCTTGGTGGCATGCTCGCGCCGCAGCAGCTCCTGTTCGGAGCGCAAGTCGCGTTCCAGTTCGTGCAGCAGCTCAGCATGATTCGACTGCAACGTGGCCATGCGCGTCTTGTGCTCGCTTACCACCTGAGCCCGCTTCGATTGCAGCTGATGCTCCAGCTGGTTGCGATACTCTTCCAGCTGCAGTTGAAAGGCCTCCTCCAGCTGGTGCTGATGTGCCGTCAGGCGGAGATCGTATTCATGCCTTAGGCTCTTCAGGCGCAACTCGTGCTCTCGCTTCGTCGCCTCCATGTCCTGCTGGAGCTGCTGCAACGCCGCCGCCTCGTTCAACATCTCGCTGCTGTGCTCCTTGCTCTTGAGCAAGCCCACCAGCTTGCTGGCCATCTTTAGGCTGCGCAGTCCGAGCTTCTCGCTGGCCAGCTGAGCCTGCGTCTGCGCGGACTTGCGCTGCAGCTGCTCCAGCTCGTGGCTGTGCTTGCTGTGCAGCTCGTCGAGATCGAAGGGATTGCTAGGATTGTTGCCGTGCAGCGATTCCTGTTCCGATTTATTGATAATGAAGCTGCGCACCGAACTGCCCTTGGAGTCCGAATCGGTGTCCTCGTATAGAGGCTTCACTGTCGCCGTAGAGCTCTCCTTCAGCTTGTCCAAATAGTTGGTCGTCTGCTCCACATCCTGCTTTAGCATCTGTATGGTCTGTGCCTTGGGCAGGCTGATGATGCGTATGGGCTTGTTGGAGTCGCTGATGAAGGGGTTCAGACTGCACATACCGACCATGGCATCTGGGTCGGCCAAGTCCTCATCCCATACATCGTCGTCGTCATCGTCCTCCTCCTCGTCGTCGTCATCTTCGTTGCTATCAACGGCCACTCCGGCTGCCACAGCATTTCCGTGGCCCAGCGCTTCGTCCTCGTCGTCGTCTTCTTCTTCCTCGCGATCCACCTCTTGCGCGGAGACCTGCTCCGCCTCCTCCTCCTCCTCCTCCATGGACAGCTCCGGTGATTGCTGATGCTTACGCGCATTGTCCTCCTCACTGGGCGAGCTACAAATCCGTTGCGTTTCTCCCAGATTGAAGCGCACGCTCTTCTTATCCTCCACGCCGGCTGCATCCTCATCTCGCTCGTAGCGCCTGCGCATGTCCGTCAAGCTGGAGTCGCGTAGGATACCTTTGACACCATACGCATTGCTGCCGCTCTCCGTTGGCTCCAGCTGACGGCGCGACTTGAGGAACATGGCGCCGGTGCCGGATAGCTGAAACGAGCCTCTCCTCTGCGGTTGCACTTGCTCTGGCGGCGGCTGGGGCGGCTCCATGCTGCCAAATTTCATGGCCAGACTGATTTGCTGATTCGTTTTGGCCACCTCGAAGCGTGTGTTCTTCACCGGCTGAAAGATGGGCCCAAAGCTCTTGCCGCGCGTCTCCAAAAAGCGACTGACCCCACCGCTAAAGCCACTCGGACCCGGAAACGCCGACGCACCACCAGCTGTGCTATGCGTCTTGGAGCTGCCAGCAATAACAGCAGCAGCAGCAGCCGCAGCAGATGTGGCAACTGTCTGGCTGCTGCCATTGTTAAGGGGCGAGCTCATATCGTCCAGCAGCTCGTCTGTTCCTTGCATGCTACGTATGCCCGAGTCCAGCTGCGACACATCGTCCGAGTTATCAATAATGGGCGTGGCACCGCCACCACCACCACCCGCACCTGCACCACCACTACTGGCAACAACAGTAGCACCAACAGCAGCTGTTGTTGCTGTCGTCGCCAGCTTCTGGCGCGTCTGCTCGACCAGATCCCGATAGACAGCGTCCAACGGATGATCCCACTGGGATTGCTTTGTGCGCGTATTGTGATAATAGTGGCCGCTCTTCTCCTCCGAATAGCTGCGAGTGAAAGAAGTTAGGAAAACCTTCGCAATGCATACGCTCACAATATACCAACCAGATCTTCCACTCGGCGGGCAATGCGGCCATAAGCCCCTCCTTGGCCAGATGTAGCAGATGCGGTTCCTTGCTCGGCTCAATGCCAATCAAAGTCGCGTAATCGTTGATCTCTGCAAATGGAATTGAAGAAAAAGAGAGATAAGATAATTTGCATTTCACAATTTGAGTTTTCGCTTGACAAGTTTTGCCAGGCCTTTACATTCGAGGTATGCAAAAAGTGAATTTATTTCTAGTTTTAAGCACTTGATGACATTTTGCATACCAAACTTGAGAGCTTTGATGTTTATAGTTCTCGAGCTATGCCCCAATCAAGTAATGATTGAAGATATTTCTAAAAAAATTAAGATCTATACTGCATATAGTCTTTATGAAAATATTCGAAATTTCAAGTATTTTCTGAATGGTAATAGTTATGAATAGATGGGGGTTACGTATAGAAAAAGGAAGTTATATTTGCAAGTGTCTAAGTAATAAGTATTCGCATACCAAATTTGTTATGTGTAGCTTTTATAGTTCTCGAGATATTGAGATTGAAGATATTTAATATATCAAACGTTTCAAGTCCTGGCTATTCTAGTTGTTCCTCTGAGTAGTTAATAGCTATATGAACTCAACGTATCAGACTAGAGTCTATATGTTAACTGATGTAACCCAAGTCTAAGCTCAGCCTGAGTCCGACCTTAAGCTAAAGCAAACTTATCTAAAGGACGTCGTATACTATATGATTACTAAGAAGATATATATGCATATATATCTAGGCTATAATTAGCTGTATATAGCACAAGGCACTTCAAATATGGCGCCGCAGCACAAGAGTGTTTGAGCCTTGGCCATTGTTTGTGCAGTGACCCACTGAGGCATAGATTGAGAGTGCTCGTAGTCTTTATGCCCCAAGAGCTATTAGCTGTGCCACAATAAGCCCTTTTTAACAATTAGGTCTAATGAAAGCAGTGCAAACTGTGTCACACCAACAGCCACAGGCACAGCCCCAGTCTCACCTGCTCCTGCTGCTCTAGCTCCTTTGTCTGAAGTGAAGTGAAAAGGAAATTTGAGCAAATATATGCTTTAGCTTTTCAATAGCGCTTGGCTTTCTTTATGAATGGCTTTGCGGCGCAATCTGGCATCTGAATCACGAGCCAAAAGAATTCTTGCAAGCGCTTGAAAATTCCATTTGGCTTAAACAAACGAAGCCCGGCTAAGGAACGCGACTGAATGCCAAATGACGTGGCCTGCATTCTGCATTCATTCTGAGCCCTCTCTGCTCTCTACCTCTCTTTCTCGCACACTCTATCGCCCTCGCTCACTCTTATTGATTGTGGCACCACCGGCAGCACCTGCAACCACAATTGTATCTCAAGCAGCGGTCAGCGCTCGTTGCTTAGCAACTTCAATAGCCACGAACGATTTGCGTTTTGGCTAACATTTCGTTGAGTTTAGGGTGGCTTTAGGGTGGCTCGTCGTCATAGTGAAACGCGGACCCACACACACACACACACTAAACACGCTCAGCTCTTCAGCACGCACAACTTTTAATTTGTTTCCTATGTTTCAATTCTAGCGTTCCCCAATTTTACCTGCTTGCAACAGCATTTCTCACAGTTCCTCTATGCAATCACAACTTTAAATTCGCCTTAAACTTTTTACTTACTGCTCCACTGTTGCTCAATTCCATCGTTCCACTCATTTGATAGCTTCCTTTAATGGGTATGCCTTACTGTCTTACTTTCACTTCGTTTTTTATGTTTAACTGTTACTTAATTCCATCATTCCCTTTGCTTAACTTTCTTAGCACAGTCAGACACACGTTTCCAGACTCTTAAGAAGAGCTCGACTCAACACACACAGCCTGAAGCGCGAGTGATTACAATGCTCAGTCGAAATCTGTTCCTCGATTCCGCCATTCCAGCTGTTAGTTACAGTCATATGAAACTGAGCACGACAATAAGCCACCTAAGCAGCTTACCCACTTGTTATATTGAGAGTTCTTTAGCAATTCATTGTGTTTTCTTTTCACATGTTCCCTTTAATGACTCAAGTTACTCAGTTTCCGAGTTCCCGTTTCCTTGTTCGATAGCCTCGAAACAGCTGGCACGAACTAAGCTAACTAATTGACAGACTGCCAAACCAAGCACTCGGGTATATATACATATATGTATTCTATATATATATATGTGGATATATATCCATTTTCAGTTGACCCATTAAGCGGACCTTGAAGGACACAACATGCCATGGTAGTAAGAACACACACCCACAGCTTTTAGCATTTACCATCTGTGGACATATTATATTTCATACATACAGTAGTCACACGCTAATGAAAATGAAGCTTTCAATTAGCTTACCATTCCTTCTAGTCTATTTATCCAAGTGAAGCCTTGTTATATGAAACTAATTCAGCCTTTGGAAAGTCCAAGTACAGGACTCAGTCTAACTTTAAGTCATTCCCTTTTAGCGTGTGTCTACTGTAGCGCACAGTGGACAGCTGGTGGTTGGTCGCCTGCAGCGCAACAAATAGCTCAATTAAAGGACATGCTAATTGGGCGTTGTCTTATTAGATTAACACTTTGTCCAATTGGCAAATGAATTTCAACGAAAGAAAATTGCATCTAGAATTGTATAACTTAATTAAAAATAAAGTGGAAGTCTGACTAAACAACTTTAAATAGATTTAGGTGCAGCTAAATACATATATATTAAATAAATATATAATATATATTTATATATGTATAATATATATAATGTATATATAGCTATACCAACTAATATCACTCTGATGTGGTCCTCTCTCTTTACTCAAAGCCTGTTGGCTTTGTTATACCCTGTACATCAATAATTAATATAGGGTATGTTGTATACATCAATAAATACTCGCTTGGGCTTGCTGTTTGACGAGTAATTGGATTATATTTTGGTGGCTTTTCCTGCTATGCTCAAAATCGATAAGTATCGATTTTCTTACCAAAGAAAGCCGTTTCCTTTGCAGCTCATCTGACATATTGCTTATGATCAATACTTGGCCTTATGTCTACTTGAACAGCATACGCTTAACATATGTCAAATATGCTCTGTTGCCTAACATATAAACGCAGATTTACAGTTTTCTTTGAAGTCAAGACATTAAAGGTTCATCCCATAAACGCTTTAGCATAACGTTTACATTTCCAGGATGCTAACAGCCCATTAACAGCGAGGTTAACATAGCAAATCTGTCCCAGATACTTCAGTTTGCTTACAACTTACCCTCTGATGACGGCAGACAGGCTTCATCGAAGACTTCCTCGCAGATGACCGAGGACGTTGCCGTTGCTGTTGCCGTTGACGACGCCGACGCCGACGACGATGCTGACGCCAACGCTGAGGCTGAGGCTGATGCCGACGTCGCTGCTGGCGTGGTGTAGCCCAAGCGTTTGGCCGTTGTTGCTGCCGTTGTCAGCGCTGTTGGCGTCGTCGCCGGCGTTGTGGCCAGCGATGCGGTTGCCGAGGAGTTGCTGTTGTTGGCCATAGCCGCTGCCGCCTTCGCAGCTGCTGCTGCTTGCGTTGCTTATAAAGCCGTTAGCTGACTTTCTCGCCTAAGCGATTTGTTATTAAATTCTTGCCGTATTAATGTTGGCTAATTATGCCGTCAGATGTCGCCAGCGTTACATAAATGTGTAACGGCATCCTATAAGAGTATGTGTGTGTGTGTGTGAAGTAGCCGCAGCGAATTAAGAGCTTAGAGCGAAAATCGAATGTGACCTAAAAAAAGAGCAGCAGCAGCAGTAAAAAAGGAAATAGGGATAACCGTTAGCTGCAGTTGAGCGAAGTGAATAGGGCAAAGGTTGCGAGGAGGGGTGGAGTGTTCGTGATTTTGTATTTTGCTGCGTTTGTTGCTCTGCTTGCCTGGCAACAGCAGCAACACACACAGGCATATATATCTTTATCTATATCTATATATATATATATATATATATATATATATATATATATATATATATATATATATATATATATATATATATATATATATATATATATATATATATATATATATATATATATATATATATATATATACATATATCTATGCATGTGTGTTTCTTATTGTATGTATTATGTATTAACATTTGCTACACACACACGCACACGCACGTAGCTAGGCGAATTGGTTGCGCAGGCACAATAACAAAATGCTAACGGTATAACGGTATTGATTTTTCACTTTTATTTAATTATGATGCCAGCCGCAGCCCCGCCCCGCTACTCAACGCTCACTTGAACAGCAACTACACACACACAACAAAATTTTGGCAAACATATTGCAAAAAGTCAAATAAAAATAAACAAAAAAAAACAACGAAAAAATTTCACTTTGCACTTTTGGCATACACACACACGTACACGCACTTGTATATGTGTGTCAGCAGCAAAAATAAAACAAAAAACATATATATATATAAATGTATATATATATATACATATATATACATGTATTTATAAAGTTATGCACTTCTTTAGTTAAGCTCTGTCACTTTCAAAGCTAAAACCGACCGATTCGACTGCCCCGTTTTATTTGGCTATGCGAGTGTTGTGCGTGCGTTGCCAACTGCAGCGAATGTTGCTAATGTCGCCCGTGTTGCTAGGCGATGCCCTTTTTACTGCAGCCCAGGCTATCGAGTGTGTGCAGCATCGATATCGAGCCTTAGCAGATCTATCGATATACGTGCCCATTGACAGTGTCCTTTTCGCTTTGTGGGTATATGTCTAAATATTTAACTTAACGTTCCGTTGGGTACATGTCCAAATAGTTGTAGTGTTTGTTTCTGCTATATGCGTTTACTGGTGTAGGTGCTTGTCTTAGCTTAGTCATCGGTAGGTACATTAAATCTTTTGCTTTTGCTCAGCTTAGTACTGGGTGTGCGTCTAAATAATGTATTTGTGCTTCTATTGTCAGGGTAAAGTAGGATCTAAATTTTTGATAATTTGGAAATTTTTGAAATTTTTATCTACTTCAAGTTGTATGCAGAGTTGCAACGTATATTCTATTATTTCAGCTTGTGTCGGCAACTGATATTGGTGGGTTCTAAATAAGTGTAGGTAAGTCTATGTAGCGGGTGTATGTCTTTGCTTTATTGTAGAAACGATAAGAGGGCTGTGCTAATATGTACAGGAAATGGTGCAAGAAGTGGTGTTCAACTTGGCTAAGTCTAGCGCGTAACTTTCGTTCAGCTCGAAGAGTATTGGTGCTTGTATCGACTACAGCTGCTCAATTGAAAACTAAACGAAACTTATGGCGCGCTTTTAGGCGCAGCTTAAATAATAAACTAATAAGATCTTTTGAATATATAAATAAGTTTATATAAATAGATAAACATCAGAATTTAATACAATTTATGGCTCGATTCAAAATTCAAAGTTTATTTATGTGTCCACGTAGAGTTTCGCTTTGTCGTCATATAACGTTTCAGACGTTGTTATGCGATTTACAACATGTATTATGTGCGGCCGTTCTATTTCGTGTTAATTACAAATAACACTATACATTTTTGCATATTTCTCAGATATTTTGCATTTTACATTGCGGCGCTGCCATTAGGTAAATGCCATCATAAATTTTGTTGCCAGCACCCGCTCTAGCCGTTTACGGATAGCGTGGGGGCGGACGACGGGCGGAGGGCGAATGGGCGGGTGAGCTGAGGTCAGGGCTTCCGTGTAAATCAATGCCAATAAATATATTATTGGCTTTGCATCGAACGTTTGCTGCGGCTCGTTCAGATCTTTTACGCTTGGCGATGACACAAATTGCACGCGCTGCTCCCTGGCACAAATCTCGTGACACGACACTCACGACATTTGTTGATAATTATTTATTTCTGAAATTGAAAATTTTATTACAGAAAATTACAAGTCACATTTGCAATATATGGAGATATATATCGATATAGTTATCGATATATTTCATACATTTACAATGATTAAGTATTTAATTTTTCTAAAACTTGCCTTATCGATCAATTTATGTACATTAATTGGCCTAGTTGCCAAGAGGCGATTCGATCAGCAATTGTAGTTTGGCTTGTGCATTGTCATTGTCATCACAATGTTCGATAAATATCGATTAGGAATCGATACATCTACTCCCTCGATTTGCACAGTCTGTCTTTTTCATATATTATATATATAAGAAAGTATTCAGTAGGATATCGCATAATAAGAATAATATCGTTACGCCTAATCAGCAACTTCGTGTCACGCTGCCATCCCTAGCCAATTGACATCGCGTAAGTAGCTGATAATTGAGGCTGTAAATGCGGCTCATTGAATTTCAAAAATAAGAAATAAAGAAGCAAAACAAATTGAGAAAAAGAAGAAAAACAAACTGTAAAGTTTGCTGTAGCCGACTGCATGATGCTCTGTAGTGAAAGAGATAGAGATAAGAGACAAGAAAGTGAACAAGATAGCGATAGATATAGACAAAGGCAAGCTTTCCACTGGTAATACCCTATAAAAAAGGAATATATATATATATATATATATATATATATATATATATATCTATATCTATATATAATAATAAATTGCCGCTAAAGTGAGAAAAGCTTTCAATAGAATTTAATGTGAAATGTTGATATGCAAATCGCATGTAGTTGCCGTTGTTGTTGTTGTTGGTTGTTTACTTTATTTATTTATTAATTATTTATTATCTATTTTGCTGTCGTGTTTGCATGCTGCAGCCTTTATTTTTTTCTCTGTTTCGGAATTGGAATATTTTTAATCTTTAATGCGAATAAATGGCAATATTTAGCCGATCCGCAGCTGAACGCCCACAAGCTCTCCCCGTCCCTCTCTTTGTCTCGCTCTCTGCCTGTCCGGCCCCTGCTCGCCCTGGCATTTGGCAGGCCACAATTAAAGGCACATTCATCATACGCCCGGTGTTACACGCGAAGGAGCTGGTTAGCCAAGACAACAACCCTCTGCCACCGCCTCTCGCAGCCCTACCCAGCCCACCCACCCCTTTTCATGTTCGTACATGTGTTTGCTCGTTGGCATTTGCTTTTAAAAACTCGCTCGTTGACATGTTTATGCATGCGCTACTTTTCACTAGTTATCGATAAATATGCACACATCACACACATACACACACACACTGTCGTAGTGCTCCTGGCTTATTAATAGCTCTTGATCCATAAACACTAAACACTTATTGGCATCGATAACAGTTGGAGCAACGGTAAATGGCAATTAATCATTCGATTGGTATTTTAATGTCGGCGACATTTCAATTGCGAACCAGTTCTTTTTGCTAGTTCACAGCAGCCACAAAAATGAAGGCAATTAATCAAACAAGTTGATTTTTACTGCAATTTAAGTTTCTTTTTTTGTTTTGGTTTTCAATTTGCGAACTGGTTCATGTTTGAAGTTCATGCGAACTAGTTCTTATGAACAACATAAGTTCAATTAATTTTAGGTGCATTTTTTTCACATTTCTCAGCAAAGAACTGTGGGATATTAGTGTCTGTCTCAATTTGCCAACTGAACGACTTGAAGATACCCTACCAAAATGTAGTTCTCAGAAAGCTTTTAAAATACCTTTACTACAAAATTTTAACGTTCTTTTTTTCATTGTAGTTTATTCCAGTTCTTGGATGTGAACGGCTTGTAGCTACCCTAAAATGTGTCGATTTGATAAGTGGCTATAAAAGCTGTGCTTCATGGCTCGTTACTAGCTTTGTGACCTATTTCTGATTGCTCTAGACTTGCATGGCTTGCAGATACCCTATAAACAAATGAAGCTAATTAAAATAAGTTTTTTAAAATTTATTTTCTACATTTTTCCACAAAAATTGTTAAAAAATTTTAAGAATTTTATTTTTTTTGTTTTCAAACTTTTTCGATTTTTCTTTATGTTTTTTTTCTACTTTTCCAATTGATTGCAAATCTTTCATTTCGTACCACTGTGCGAGCTTTGTCAATGTTGTTCGCTGCAGTTGTTGTTGTTGTTTTGGATTAAATTGTTTCAATTGCGAACGTTGCTCACAATTTGTCAAGAGACCAAAGTGGCGCTCGAGTTGTTGTGGCTCATGGCGCGTGGCAGCAACAACTGGCAGCCACCGACAACAAGCGACAAAGCAGACAACTGGAAATAGGCAATTTCTATAGAGCACCCTGTAAGCTATGGAAACTGTTCATTTACAGGGTATGCTACTGCAGAGCTTATGTATGTAAGAACAGATCAAACAAACATAATTATCGATAAATATCGATATTTAGCAATATGATTCCAAACTAGTTGAAATCAAATTCTGCATTATAAATTGTTTAGTTTATTACTTTATGAAATTGTTTGCTTCTGATTTCGATAAATATCGAATCTCGATAAGTGTTTTATCGCGGGGCAAATTGGCAAAATGTGAAGCTGAGATGAGATATGCTATAACTATGCATACAACATATACTCTATATAAGAATCTAAAGTTGTATTGCCTACAGGGTATTTGCTAGTCGCAATACACTTCAAAGCACGCGCACTTTTACCCGTTTGCTTTGATTTTGTTTTGGGGTTTTCAAACCTAATCACGACTAATGAAAGACAGCAGCAGCAGCAGCAGCAACAAGCCTCAACAATGCTTGCCAAGCTCAGATTGGCATTTGGGGTCGAACACGCCCCATAAGTGGCCAGAGCCAACCCACCGCTCCCCACCTGGGCCGCCCCTGGGCCCCGCCCAACTGTGCAGCTGCTGGTGATTGACAGAGCTGTGGGCACGGCCAAAAAAAAAATAACAAAAAGCAAAACAAACAATTGGAGAGAGGGAGTTGAAGATGAGGAGGCAACGCGCTGCATACGCGTTGCGGTCGAGGGGTGGGAGGGCGAGGGCGAGGTTGGGCGTGGGGGT